CCAAGTCATGCTATAACAAACGTTATAATTCACAACGAACGACTCACGTGCTCGACTCAACAGTACGTCTCTATCTCTGTCTGCAGTTCAATCACATTGTTGCCGTCACTTCTTACCGGTCCTATATATAAGAATACCGCATATCTAGTAAACACTCAAGGATTCACGAACCTTCGAGAATATGACGTGTTACTAGCATCACGTGACCTCCGCTGTCATAACAGTATTTTAACCTGTACTAGGTATGGCCTAAACAACAAGATCAAAGAACCCAATTTAGAACTGGCTGTTAACAATAAATGGAAAGAAAGAACCACAAAGAAGAATGATCTTTTTGTTTGTTGTTTTTAGCGCAAAGCCACACAGTCTGTACCCTGTCCATCGAGGAGAATCGAAACCTAAATCTTTGCGTTGTAAGTCATAGCTGTTAATATGACTTTTTCTTCTGATTCGCACGAAATGTGCAAATGTCTCGAAGCACAGTTAAATATAATTTAACGGAATAAGTTGTATTATTGCTGTTATAAGACTTTTAAGATTTAGTATTAAACGAACAGGAAACTGTCGAATGGATCTGTTGCTGTTGTTTTGTTTTTGTCACTTTGAAGTCATTACGTGCTTTTCTATACTAAAAACAAGCGTCATTTTTTTTTCAATGGAGGGCTTTTTGTTCTTGATTGAGAACAAGAATGCACAATATAGATTTTAATATACTTGAGGAACATGACCTTGAGATCTTAACATCTTTTACAGTTTTCATTGAGGAAATAATGCTGTGGCAGAGTACATGAGATGTCGACTTCACGCAAGAATAGAGAACACATCTCGCGGAACGACGATATATTGGTCACGTGCTCATTTCACTATGAGAAAACGTTCTCACAAAGCTTGGTGTGAGGTTGTAACTCGAAGTGAGTGGACGACGGTACATCGCACTTACATAAGTGAGGCCACTTCGAGGGAAAGAGGGATAAAATGAGGTTGGTAGAAAACTTCCAGGCTTTTAATTGGTCAGAAGCTCGTAAGCATGTGGATGAAGTACGAAACAGTGCTTTCCAACAATTCTTACACCAATATCAGCAACATAAAGATAGAGAGGACGACCCTTTTAAATGGGGAGATGAGGTAAGTTTGTTAGTTAAGATCACCAACGTTGTTATTGAAGTTGAACAGCAGGAAGACATACCCCCCTTCCCTTAACTGTTACCCTGTTTCATCTCTGAATATATTTCTTACGGACGTTATACGGTACACATGAATATATGCGGTGTTATTCTTGATTTTTGGTACCTCTAATAGTCTAAGTATGATCACCAGGATCTCTTGGAGCTGTAACACTGATAACAGTACAAGTGATTAACGTTTTGCTCATAAAAAGATATAAATTACTAGATACTTAAAATTATATAATTTAACTTTCAAGTTAAGTTAATTTGCTCCTATTAAATACTCCCGTTATCGCAAGCTTTCTTATACTTTTAGGAACCAGGGCTGTCAGTATTATTTTGTGTATGTAGTTATTTTAGTATTATTCTAGGGTCTAATTCAGTAATGCGACAAATGCAACGTTGAGCCTTAACCTGCGGTAAGACTGAAAAATCTTGTGACAATGAAATGAACACGAGTAAACAATGCAAAATTGAAAATATAGGCCCAGTGCTGTATGTGCAAGTAAAGAATAAATGAACATGATTTAGAAGAGTCTCAGCTTACTGGTAGTTTTTAAATTACTGAAGCATAAGCATATACATGGGAAAACAGGTATTACGATAGCCCAGATAGCCAGAAGGGGTCCCGGAAATATGGTAATTGAATTGTTAAATATTGGAACTGAGGGAACAATATTGTAATACAATTACGAGTAAAAGGTTTTATTAGGGTGGAACGGGCAATATTTTCCCTTTTCCTGGTCCATTTCAGGCCTAGCTATGCTAGTGATTATATTGCATGCACTTAGCTTATCATGATCTAAATAAAATTAATAATAGTAACAGCAGCTTGCCAACTGTATTATATTGTTTTGAACAATTAAAATAATGTTTTGTTGTTGTTTTTTTACTTGTACCTGGATTATACTATTGTTTGTTAAAATATTTATTTTATTACAATTGTATATCTTTAAATGATTTTAGAGAGAGGGCACTGTATGTATCCAGTTTTGTTTCCCTAAAAGTAAAACCGGCGTATAGGGTACGCGTTATTAGCGTTACTTGGTGTAATCTTACGTAATTAGTTTTTGGGGTTTTGACCCATTTTTGATTAAGAATTAGATATAAAGCACACTAAGTGAAATTCTTGGGAATCTTGTAGTCTCTTCAGCGAGTCAATCAAGAGTCCGGTACCGGAGAAAGAACTTGGTTGTGTAGCCTGAAAAACTGAGTTTGTTACCTATTATATTACTATTGTTAGGCCTGAGTCTGGTATCAGAGTAACAACTTGATTGTGTTGCCTAAAAACTGAGTAGTGAGACCCGAGTCCGGTATGGTTTGGGAAAGTAAAATATTTTGTACATGTGGCTAATAAACCAATTATTCAATCCAATACAAAGAATGTTCATCGTTGTTTTAATTGGATCAGCGTAACAACATTTTCTCAAAATTATACTTGGAAAACAGTTAAACTTTTAGCTTAATCTAGAAGCAGAAGATATGCAGATTGTTTTATAACAGGTTCGGGCGTGGCCAGGTGGTTAGTATGTCGGACTATAGATCAGAGGGTCCACGGCTTGCGTCCTGTTAATGCAAAAAAAACAACAACTTCGATTCGCACTTTTGGGCCGTTAGTGATGGTTAAATCTCCTTATTCAGTTAGTTGCCCAAGAACTGGTGGTAGTTACTGTTTGCATTGACAAGCTGTTTTTCCCTTTAACAGTTTAAAGATGAATTTCTAAGATAAAAAAATAAGTAAAAGAGATAGCGGGCGTGGCATAATGGTTAACGTTCCCTGCCGTCTGACTGTATCGGGGTCTAGATCCTTGTGGAAATCTGAGAGGTTCAGGTTCTATCCAAGACCTCTTTTTTTTTTCCTGCCCAAACTGTGAATCGAGACTTCAAAGTTCGCATGTTGTTGTCGCAAAAACGCACTCAGCAATTTGGGGACGTGGTTAAATTGTAAGAGTGATTACTGAATCCCAATATTCGATAGCAGTAGCCTAAAAGTTGGCTGTGGGGATGTTTCCTGGCTGGCTTTTTTTCTAGACAAACAATTCAAAATTAAGGATGGTAAATGTAGATAGATCCTGGTGGTCATGCTGATTTTTAGTCAGTTTTTACATAATTCTTTATGAATGTGTTTACTTTTAAAGAGTTTTCTTCAATCTACAGATTTAAATAATACAAACTTGCAAAACCCTCAATATATTAAGAGGTTGTTCCAGTAACCAGAAACATTTGTCTTAACATAAGATACAGATGAATGATAAAATCGGGTGTAGAAATGAAGTAGAAATATTTATTCACGCAGAAAGGCTTGTTTGTTGTAGTACATAGCTACACAATAGGCTATCTGCACTCTGTTCAACACAGGCCTCGAGCCCCGAATTTTATCATTAAAAATCCTTAATGCTACCGTTGTCCCCACTTGGGGACCACGCTGAAAGGAATAACTTCTTCGTAACATTCTAGAAATAAGACTACAAGAACAGAAAAAGGTTGTAGAAGTGAAATTATCGTATTGTTACGACAGCGGAAGGCACGTGACGCTAGTAACACGTGATGAGTATCTAAGATTCACTAAGAGACGAGATGTATGCTTTTATAGTATATAAGCCGGCAAATAAAATGGCAAGAATATAGTCGCAGATAGAGAGATTGAAGATATAGACACTGATAATCGAGTCATGCGGGCACCATAAGTAAAGTGCGTGAATCGTTGTGAATTATAGTGTGAGTTTAAGTGTATTGCAAAGTTGAATTGAGAAAGAATAAACTAGTTTTATTTAAGAAAGGACTTGTATTGCAGAAGTTTCTTCGGAAAGAATTTTTACGGAAAATTAACATATGAACACAGACGTAACAAATTGGTGTCAGAGAGTGGGACGAAAAAAAAAGAAGATGGAAAGAGGTGGCAAATCAAACTACAACTTAGCAGATTTGATGGCAGCAATACAAGAACAGCAAAAGAAACAAGAAGAACGAGAAAAGAAACAAGAAGAGAGATTACAGCAGTTGTTGGAGGAAAAAGAAAAGAAACAAGAAG